GTCTTTCTCTGGTCGCTCTCTCTCCCTCCGGTCTCCCCCTCCGGTCTCTCCCTCTGGTCTCTCTCTCTGGTCTCTCTGGTCTTTCTCTGGTCGCTCTCTCTCTGGTCGCTCTCTCTCCCTCCGGTCTCTCCCTCTGGTCTCTCTCTCTGGTCTCGCTCTCTGGTCTCCCTCTCTGGTCTCTCTCTATCTCCGGTCTCTCTCGCTGGTCTCTCTCTGGTCTCCCTGTGGTCTCTCTCTCTCTCTCTCTGGTGTCTCTCTCACCAGAGTTTAGTAAATCTCGGCGAGTGGTTAGCCCTCTCGCTTCTCAGCATGAAGGTCCTGGGTTTGAATCCCGTTCGGAATAGGGCCTTTCTGAGAAGAGTTTGCATGTTCTCCCTGTGTCTGTGTAGGTTTCCTCCAGGTGCTCCGGTTTCCTCTACCACTAATAACATGTACAATAGGTCTGTGCCTCCTGTAGGTGACCTGTTCCCATCTGTGGAGTGACAGACTAATGCCTAAAACAACAATGTAAACTGCTTTGTGATCTACGGTACTTTCTGATGCGTTGGTTAAAAACTCAGGGTGGAGGAAGTGGGCGGGCTTTGATGCTAACGACTTTAAGCTAGCTGCTCTTTCACACCAGAACAACAGAAATACAGTTGTAGATACAGATGTGTAGTTTAATGTCAGATTCTAAATGTTTCAGTGAAAACCGAGGAACACACCGCAGCTCCAGCTCTTTCCAAACCACTTCTTCCATTAACTGACAGACAATCAATATCAGGAGCATCAGGGCCGATCTGTGCCGATCTGTGCCGATCTGTGCACGGACCGGAAGTAAGTCCTGGACATATTCAATCATGCAGTGGAAAGATGAGCTAAAGATTTATTTAAAGTGTTGTTTTGTTTATGTTTGGGTTTCAGTGGAGATATTTAGAGATGTAGGTACAGAGAGACCAGAGAGAGACCAGAGAGATACCAGAGAGAGAGACCAGAGAGATACCAGAGAGAGACCAGAGAGAGACCAGAGAGAGACCAGAGAGATACCAGAGAGAGAGACCAGAGAGATACCAGAGAGAGACCAGAGAGAGACCAGAGAGAGACCAGAGAGAGACCAGAGAGATACCAGAGAGAGACCAGAGAGAGACCAGAGAGAGACCAGAGAGAGACCAGAGAGAGACCAGAGAGAGACCAGAGAGAGAGACCAGAGAGAGACCAGAGAGAGACCAGAGGTTCTTGGTCCAAAAGTTGCTCTTGGCACAAGGTAGAGTGGTAGAGTATTGGCCTCTGGGCCTGAAGGCCTTGAGTTCGAGTCCCACCATGAGACCTTCTTCAACTGCTGCTGTTGCGTCCTTTGGCAAGACATTTAACCCCACGTTGCCCAAAAACATTTTGAATGAATTTGACGGGAGGAAAAAGTGACAGTAGCTCAGTTGGTAAAGCATTGGCCTTTGGGCCTGAAGGTCGTGGGTTCGAGCCCACCGTAAGACCTACTTCACGACTCCCACTGATGACTGCTGTCGTTGTGTCCTTGGGCAAGACACTTAACCCTACTTTACCCAAAGCCCCAACTGAAAGATCTCAGCTCCTGTGGACTCACCACCTGCAGGAGGATCAGTGAGGGGCTGGTGCTCTGTGGACTGGGTGCGGCTCTGACTGCCACCCCCCCGACCGAGAAATGGATTAAGGGGAAGAAAATGGATGGATGGATGGATGGAAAAAGTGACACATTGTTTTAAACGACGGAGATAGGTGTCACTCCGTCCGCTAATATTTACAGTCTATGGTTTAAGCTAGCAGTCTATGGTTGAAGCTAGCAACAGCAGCTAAACCACTGCCTCCTGATGCAGAGAGATGGACATTATTCAGATTATTCCGTGTTTTTGCAGAGAGCAGTACAACAGCCTCTTCCAGACGTGCTTCAAGCTCAAGGCAGACTCTGGGCAGGCCGTGTTCTTGATGCAGTCTGACAGTAGTCACACTCGGGCTGTGAACTGCTGCACATCTGTAGCGGTCTGTGTCACTGGTCTGAAGGCGTCTGGACCATTGAGGGTCGAGGGTTACAGCAGATCAAACCCCGCTGTCGCCTCAGAATGTGTGAATGTAGAAGAATGGGACAAAAGTAAGTTTGGTTTATGTGTGTTCTCGTCTGGTGCACATGTATTCCAATGTGGTTTTACTGCAAACCAGTCTTAAATGTGTTGGGCCTGGATCCTAAAACCTTCTGTGGACGTCACTGATGAAATATGAGTTACACAATCGTACCCAGGAAACAGGAAAGTCTGGGTCCGTGCAGTTTATTCACCAGTTTCTCAACAGTGCGACGTGTGCAGACCCCCCCTCTCCTCCACCTGAGCGCCTCTGCAGGTCCTCGTTCTACAGTCTGAGTCCTGGATCTATAGTAAACCTTATAATTAGAATAATTATTATTATTATAACAATAATTATACATATTATTTGTATCAAACCTTACATTTCCACAAAACCTACAAGTGCTACAGATTAAAATTGAATAAAAAAATCCTGTACAAGGATTTATAGGAACATTTGTACATACATATATACAAACATAGATACAGACATAGATACAGACATATACACACATACACTCATCATGAATAACATTTTATAACCAGTCATGGATAATAATGATAAACTGCAGCAGCACAGACGATAACTATGACAATAATACACACACACAGACACACACACACCCACACAGACACACCCACAGACACACTCACAGACACACACACAGACACACACACAGACACACACACACAGAAACAATCACAGACACACACACACAGAAACAATCACAGACACACACACACACAGACACACTCACAGACACACACACACAGACACACACACACACACACACACAGGCAGCAGATTTAGAGCAGACACACGGCCTGAGATGGGTGAACATGGAGAGAGGTTCAAAGAGCACATTAACGGCTCTTCTACAAAGCGAAATTTAAAGGAAACACTAAAAACACACGCGTGATGAAGTGTCGCGGCTGAAAACGTGTGACATCACAACGGGGTCAGCCTTAAAGGGGAAGAGGCCCATTAGAATGTAAGCTAGCTGGAGCCAAAGTCCTAATACGGGCATTTCCTCTCTGGCTTTAGCTTCGTAATGTAACATGGGCAGACCAGAAAGAGACTAGAGAGAGACCAGAAAGAGACCAGAGAGAGACCAGAGAGAGAGACCAGAGAGAGACCAGAGAGAGACCAGAAAGAGACGAGAGAGAGACCAGAAAGAGACCAGAGAGAGACCAGAGAAAGACCAGAGAGAGACCAGAGAGAGACCAGAAAGAGACCAGAGAGAGACCAGAGAGAGACCAGAGAGAGACCAGAGAGAGACCAGAGAGAGACTAGAGAGAGACGAGAGAGAGACCAGAAAGAGACCAGAGAGAGACCAGAGAAAGACCAGAGAGAGACCAGAGAGAGACCAGAAAGAGACCAGAGAGAGACCAGAGAGAGACCAGAGAGAGACCAGAGAGAGACCAGAGAGAGACTAGGGAGAGACCAGAAAGAGACTAGGGAGAGACCAGAGAGAGACCAGAGAGAGAGACCAGAGAGAGACCAGAGAGAGACTAGAGAGTTACCAGAGAGAGACCAGAGAGAGACTAGAGAGTTACCAGAGAGAGACCAGAGAGAGACCAGAGAGAGACCAGAGAGAGAGACCAGAAAGAGACCAGAGAGAGACCAGAGAGAGACCAGAGAGAGACCAGAGAGAGACCAGAGATAGACCAGAGAGAGATCAGAGAGACCAGAGAGAGACCAGAGAGAGACCAGAGAGAGACCAGAGAGGGACTAGGGAGAGACCAGAAAGAGACTAGGGAGAGACCAGAGAGAGACCAGAGAGAGAGACCAGAGAGAGACTAGAGAGTTACCAGAGAGAGACCAGAGAGAGACCAGAGAGAGACCAGAGAGAGACTAGAGAGAGAGCAGAGACAGACAGAGACCAGAGAGAGACCAGAGAGAGAGACCAGAGAGAGACTAGAGAGTTACCAGAGAGAGACCAGAGAGAGACTAGAGAGTTACCAGAGAGAGACCAGAGAGAGACCAGAGAGAGAGACCAGAAAGAGACCAGAGAGAGACCAGAGAGAGACCAGAGAGAGACCAGAGATAGACCAGAGAGAGATCAGAGAGAGACCAGAGAGACCAGAGAGACCAGAGAGAGACCAGAGAGAGACCAGAGAGAGACCAGAGAGGGACTAGGGAGAGACCAGAAAGAGACTAGGGAGAGACCAGAGAGAGACCAGAGAGAGCAGAGACAGACAGAGACCAGAGAGAGAGACTATAGAGAGAGATTAGAGAGAGAGACTAGGGAGAAATCTGAGAGAAACCAGAGAGAGAGAGAGACGGCCGATAGAGAGATCTGAGAGAGAGACTAGAGATAGAGACCAGTGAGGGAGAGAGAGTGAGAGCGAGAGAGACCAGTGAGAGGGACTGGCAAGAGAAAACAGAGAGAGAGAGATCTGAGAGAGAGAGACGGGCATAAGAAACCAGTATTAGTCAAATCTTTCCAGTTTTTCTCCATGAAGTTGGCTCTAAATACATAGTTTATCAGAAACAGAGAGAGACAAACACAAACTCAAACCTATGTCAAACTGCTCAGGCCTAAATTTAGACAAAGTGGCACCGTGTCTTTGATCTTTTCCACGGCGGGGACTGGAGCCAAGTCCTGAGTGCTCCGCGAGACCCTCCAAAAGCCGCCTCTTGAGCCTCTATCTTTCCCCCTGACCCTCCTGCTGCTGCACAGACGCTCTCTTCACCTCCTGTATCTACCAAGTGCTATCTGTGTTACTCAGGACCGGAATCAGGCTCGCACACATCAAACTCAAGCCTTCCAGCGTGCAAGAGCTCGGCAAGAGGGTCCTGGGTTCGAGTCCCGGCCGGAACGCGGTCTCTTATGTTCCCCCCGTGTCTGTTAAGCGTGTAGGTTTCCTCCGGGTGCTCCAGGTGCCCCCACCACTAAAAACATGTACAATAAGACTAGATCAAGGTCCTCCCCGTGTCTGCTAAAGGTTTCCTCCAGGTGGTCCGGTTTCTTACTAAAAACATGCACAGTAGGTAAAAATCAAGGTGACTTTCTTATGTTCTTCCCGTGTCAGCGTAGGTTTCCTCCAGGTGCTCCAGTTTCCTTATACCGCTAAAAACATGTACAATAGGTCAAAATCAAGGTGACTTTATACGTACCTGTGAGTAGATTCTTGCGTCTACCCACAGGTACCCACCCACACTGCAAAAATCTCTCTCTCTCTTCATGAACGGCCGAGTGTCTAGTTTTGTTCGTAACTTTAAGCATAGTGTTTGGATCAATAAAGATGTGTTTGAAAAAGGGACACAGATGGACAATACTAAACCCACTGGCCCCTGGAAGCCCAATAGAGAAGTGCACATGGGCGAAGTTTTGCCCCAGTTTGGTCTGACTTTTTCCCTCTGACTCTTGAGGACATTTATTCACATTTCTAGACACTGGTCGTCCCGTTCCCTCTGAACCAGCGGCTTCTATGTGTTTGTTTATTCATGTACTTCCTGTGTCCGTTCTGTATGATTCTCTAATCTGTTGTTGGCGACTTCACAACTTGGTCCAGCCCCCCGAGACGACTGATGTAGAGCGATAAGTTAACAGTCCCAGATGAACTGTTTGTGCGACCATTTTGTATTCAAGAAATAATTTAGTCCTTGTAAATCCAGATGTGAGTCATATACGGACGGACCAATCAGATGCCTTCGTTGACAAAACTCCAGGTTACCTTAGCAACCATCTGCGCTAACGCTATTCGAACAAAATTCCCATATAAAACTGATTATCCGCAGCTAGCTTGTGTTGAAATCTGCCTCTTCTGCATTAATGCTTACCGTCCAGGAAGCACACACTGATATATGGGACATGACGCAACAATAATTTGGTTTTATAGACTGACCTTCGCCCTGATCTGGGGTTTAGAACCAAAACATCTCAGAGCGACTGCAATTAACCTTAATGCAACAGGAAGGCGCTGGTCTTTGTGAGCGAGGGCCGTCCATACGTCCCGACCCCCTCCTCCTCCTCTCAGCCGCTCCATGTTACCGCTCGGCAATTGAAATCAAGGTAATGACCGGGCAAGGAAAAAGAATGCCCTTTCAATAGATAATTAGCGATATTGGTTTACCAGGGCCACTCAGAGCCTATTCAGGGGACGCAGAGCTAAGGCCGGGCCCCTGTTGTCTGTAGCCCCCCCCCCCCCCCCCCCCCCCCCCCCCCAAATAAAACGGCTCCCAAGAGAGAGATTGGCCCGGCTTCATTTCTCTGAGCAGGTGCCTGGCAGGTAGTCAATGGAGACGGTTGAGATGTAGAGAAGGAGACTTCCCCGCGGACGAGAGGTCAACATCAGAGGTCGGGGGTCACGAGCACAGGTCACAAGGTCAATGTTTAGCTCATAGAACTGAGCTAACGATCGCAAAGGCAAAGGAAGTACCGGCAACAGTCGCAGAGGCTAAGGAAGTATCAGCTAGCAATCGGTAATGCTAAGGAAGTATCCGCTAACGATCAGAAATGCTAAGGAAGTGTTTGCGTTTGTACATTGTCCCTTCAATGGTCAGAAAGTCGGCGCTACTTGCAGGAGAAAGCCAAATTTTGTTTTTTGGCTAAGCAGGACAGGGCCTGGTTAGTGCTGTGATGGGAAACCTCTGGGAACAGCAGGTGCCACAGTGGGGCGGCTGTACCTTGTGTCCTTAGGCAAGACACTTCCCCCACATTAGAATGAGTCTGGTGTGTGTGTGAATGGTTGGGGGTGGTGGGAGGGGCCGATGGCACAGACTGGTTGCCTCACTTCTGTCAGTGTGCCCCAGGGCAGCTGTGGCTACAGCTTATCACCACTGTGTTTGGACAGAGTGAATTTTTCTGTGAAGCGTCCAAAAAATTAAACCAATGCATCTGTGACATGTCAGTGTCATTTGAACCAACTCTGACTCTGAGGAGCACAGGGACTGGCCTCCTGCTGGACTCTGAGGAGCACAGGGACTGGCCTCCTGCTGGGACTCTGAGGAGCACAGGGACTGGACTCCTGCTGGGACTCTGAGGAGCACAGGGACTGGCCTCCTGCTGGGACTCTGAGGAGCACAGGGACTGGACTCCTGCTGGGACTCTGAGGAGCACAGGGACTGGCCTCCTGCTGGGACTCTGAGGAGCACAGGGACTGGACTCCTGCTGGGACTCTAAGGAGCACAGGGACTGGCCTCCTGCTGGGACTCTGAGGAGCACAGGGACTGGCCTCCTGCTGGGACTCTGAGGAGCACAGGAACTGGACTCCTGCTGGGACTCTAAGGAGCACAGGGACTGGCCTCCTGCTGGGACTCTGAGGAGCACAGGGACTGGACTCCTGCTGGGACTCTAAGGAGCACAGGGACTGGCCTCCTGCTGGGACTCTGAGGAGCACAGGGACTGGCCTCCTGCTGGGACTCTGAGGAGCACAGGGACTGGCCTCCTGCTGGGACTCTGAGGAGCACAGGGACTGGACTCCTGCTGGTAGAGCCGTGCACTTGAGCCCTTGGCCCGAGGGCCCCGACGGCCCGACAGCCCAAGGGCCGATGACCGCATAATGACCTCGGACACGGGCCGGGCTCGGGCTCTTCATTTTCAGAGCGGCAGAATACATTTACGAACGCACCCACTGAATATAGCGTTCTATCACGCAGTAGAGTTTGTTGTTCTGTGTAGTGTTGTCATTGACGGCACATAGCGTTACTTACAGGTGTGTTGCAGCATCTGGGCATCATACAGATGCGGCCGTTCACTCTGCACCACTCCGCACACACAGAACTCATTGCAACACATCACTACCATGTATAACTCCGCCCTCTAGCTAAGTCTGCGTTCATATCAGTGCGCGGCACTATATACTACGCTAAAACATTGTTATGGGATGTTACAAAAAAACAAAAAAAAAGTCAGGCTTGATGCGGGTTTTGGGCCTGAAAATTCAGAAACCATATCGGGCCGGGCCGGACTGAGGCTCCACCCCTTCGGGCCAGGGCCGGGCTCGGGCCCAGATAATAGGCCTGTGCAGGGCTCTACCTGCTGGGACTACAGGAATGTGTAAAAACGCTGCTTCTGTAGGTTTTTGTCTTCATTACGTTGTTACTTTCTTCTGTATCCAAATGTAGTTTATTCTTCTGTTTTTGAGTTTATGAAACAATCTCAATCCTAGACTGGTCCTAGGCTGGTCTTAGGCTGGTCCTAGTCTGGTCCTAGGCTGGTCCCAGGCTGGTCCTAGACTGGTCCTAGACTGGTCCTAGACTGGTCCTAGGCTGGTCCTAGACTGGTCCTAGGCTGGTCCTAGGCTGGTCCTAGGCTGGTCCTAGACTGATCCTAAGCTGGTCCTAGACTGGTCCTACGCTGGTCCTAGACTGGTCCTACACTGGTCCTAGACTGGTCCTAGACTGGTCCTACACTGGTCCTAGGCTGGTCCTAGACTGATTCAGGGCTTGGAATAGGTGCTAGTTACCATAGCAACACACTGTTTACTTGATGCAGGTAGCATTTTGTTTTGCCATATTCCATTTATATTCACCAGTTTCACATGTATTAAAAATAAAATCTGAATGACTTTCTGGCTGTGAATAAAACTCATTCTACTTTGTACTTATTGCTTTTATCTTTCTTTTTAAACCCACTTTTAAGTGAGAGTTTTAAACCCCACACTTTTATGCTGCTCGGTATTAATATGAAATAATTTATTTTAACATACCTTTTTAAGGCATTTGCATCTGTGTTTTTAAATTGCTCGTGTGTTTCACTTTGACATGTACATGATTTGTGCTATACAGATAAATGATGGATTGATACTTTCTGCTGTTCTATATTAATTGTGTTTGAACATTGATTTTCTGATCTGTGTTGATGATTTTAACGTTTTTGTAAAGTCCTCTGAGAAACTGTTGTGATTTAGGGCGACTCCAACTGCAGCATTCCTTTCATTTCAATGGGAGCCGTCAAAATGACTGCTGTGGGAGTTCTCGTCGTCACAGAATCCTTTTGTTGAAGCCAGAATATAATGTCACGTAAACCTCAAACACTTTCGCTTCAGACCGACGTTGAGCTTGAGTTTTTGCCGATAAGCCGTGAGCGAGAAGCACGTCCCTCTTCCGTCTCCAATCAAATAGAAAGCCCGTGGAGTAAATATCCCATTTCTTTCCGGCGGCCTGTTTACAACATCTGGGGGAGGCTGTATAAACACTGCGCTGCAAAACAAGGAATTTCTTTTAATGTAGCGGCCCGGCCACTTAGCTAGCAGCCACTTAGCTAGCATATGCCAGATATAGGAAACCCATAGCATCAGTGGCTCCATATTGGCTCCAGGGGTCAAAGGCTAGCAGGGTCAGCAGTGTCATCCTTCCTTCTCATCACGGAGTGCATTAACATCCCCTCGCTGTCCCGTCACCACCAGATGGCTGCTCCGGCCCGGGGCAGATGCCGCGCTCTGCCACCGGTCCAAAGAAATCCACGGCGGAGCATTAAAACATCATATTTCAGACAAATACATAAGTCTGTCCGGCCGCATTCCTCATCGATTCTCCGTCTGCTCCAGACAGATTGGAATCAAAATGGAGTCGTGTCAGAGACGGCGGCGAAGCCAAACGGCAGCAAAGCCAAACGGCGGCAAAGCCAAACGGCGGCAAAGCCAAACGGCGGCAAAGCCAAACGGCGGCAAAGCCAAACGGCGCAGGTGTCAGACCCGAAGCCCGTCACAGTATCATTAGTGGCCCCTGAACTATCTTTTATATAATTAAGATTGTGTTATTAAGAAAATCAAACAAACTCAAAACAATCTTGATAATCCTCTCACATTGTTTTATTTTTACATGATTTGGACAAACCGCTAATAAAGGATCGTTTCCAACGGGCCACGGACCACTGGTTGAAAAACACTGAGGTAAGGCAAGTTTATTTGTATCGCACCGTTTACGCTCAAGGAAACTTAAAGAACAAAACAAAACAAGAAAGAATCACAAAACTCTAAACAATCACTAAAGTAAAATTCTTCAGTCTGATTCACAACAAAACAAAACTGTTTTAAATAATGTCAGAGAAAAAGTCTGTCTCATGTAATCATCATCCTGCTGTGTTCCTCAGAGTCCCAGCAGCAGTACCAGGAGCAGGAGCAGGAGTAGGAGCAGGAGTAGGAGTAGCAGCAGGAGCAGCAGTAGCGGTAGTAGTAGAAGCAGCAGTAGCAGCAGCAGCAGCAGCAGCAGTACAGCAGCAGTAGCAGTAGTAACAGCAGCAGTAGCAGCAGCAGTAGCAGCAGCAGTAGCAGCAGCAGCAGCAGTAGCAGTAGCAGCAGCAGTAGCAGTAGCAGTAGCAGTAGCAGCAGCAGTAGCAGCAGTAGTAGCAGCAGCAGTAGCAGCAGCAGCAGCAGCAGCAGCAGCAGTAGCAGCAGCAGCAGCAGTAGCAGTAGCAGTAGCAGTAGCAGCAGCAGCAGCAGTAGCAGCAGCAGTAGCAGCGGCAGCAGTAGCAGTAGCAGCAGCAGTAGTAGCAGCAGCAGCAGTAGCAGCAGCAGTAGCAGTAGCAGTAGCAGCAGCAGCAGCAGTAGCAGTAGCAGTAGCAGCAGCAGCAGCAGCAGCAGTAGCAGCAGCAGTAGCAGCGGCAGCAGTAGCAGTAGCAGCAGTAGTAGCAGCAGCAGCAGCAGCAGCAGCAGTAGCAGCAGCAGTAGCAGCGGCAGCAGTAGCAGTAGCAGCAGCAGTAGTAGCAGCAGCAGCAGTAGCAGTAGCAGTAGCAGCAGCAGCAGCAGTAGCAGTAGCAGTAGCAGCAGCAGCAGCAGCAGCAGTAGCAGCAGCAGTAGCAGCGGCAGCAGTAGCAGTAGCAGCAGTAGTAGCAGCAGCAGTAGCAGCAGCAGTAGCAGCAGCAGTAGCAGCAGTAGTAGCAGCAGCAGTAGCAGCAGCAGCAGCAGCAGCAGCAGCAGCAGTAGCAGTAGCAGTATGGAGACCTCTGACCCTGCCGCTCTCACTCAGGTGCTGTCGCTCAGAGCCACAGTTGAACTTGACTCCACAGAAACCAGATCCACAAACTAATCCAGGCCCAAGACAATCAGTGATGTCGCACGGACCAGGACGAGCAGACGCACGGACCAGGACGAGCAGACGCACGGACCAGGACGAGCAGATACCCCTCGCTCTGACTCCACACAACAGCTGCGTTCACAAACTACGACATGTTTATTTATTATCCTTAAATTCATTGTATTTGTCTTTCTCCCTAAATCCCTGTTTCCCTGATCCCTGGTGTTCCCCTGGTGTTCCCCTGGTCTTCCCCTGGTCTTCCCTTGGTCTTCTCCTGGTCTCCCCCTGGTCTCCCCCGGGTCTTCCCCTGGTCTTCCCCTGGTCTTCTCCTGGTCTCCCCCTGGTCTTCCCCTGGTCTTCCACTGGTCTTCCACTGGTCTTCTCCTGGTCTCCCCCTGGTCTCCCCCGGGTCTCCCCCTGGTCTTCCCCTGGTCTTCCCCTGGTCTTCCCCTGGTCTTCCACTGGTCTTCTCCTGGTCTCCCCCGGGTCTTCCCCTGGTCTTCCCCTGGTCTTCTCCTGGTCTCCCCCTGGTCTTCCCCTGGTCTTCCACTGGTCTTCCACTGGTCTTCTCCTGGTCTCCCCCTGGTCTCCCCCGGGTCTCCCCCTGGTCTTCCCCTGGTCTTCCCCTGGTCTTCCCCTGGTCTTCCACTGGTCTTCTCCTGGTCTCCCCCTGGTCTTCCCCTGGTCTTCTCCTGGTCTCCCTCTGGTCTCCTCCTGGTCTCCCTCTGCTCTCCCCCTGGTCTCTCCCTGCTCTCTCTCTGCTCTCCCTCTGCTCTCCCTCTGGTCTCCTCTTGGTCTCCCCCTGCTCTCCCTCCGGTCTCCCCCTGCTCTCCCCTCGGTCTCCCCTCGGTCTCCTCCTGCTCTCCCCTCGGTCTCCTCCTGGTCTCCTGTCCAGAACACACCTGCGCAGACAGACGTCCAGGAGGCGTCCCAAATAGAATATCTTACTTTATTACAGATGACATCGGTGACTCAGAGACACATGGTCCCTCTGCCTCGGCCGCAGCACAGGAAGCAGAGGCCTGTGATTGTGGACCATGGAGGGAGATACCATCAGGCACCAGGACGGTCCGCTCCCAGACACACTTTATGACCCGAGTATCTGCTCCATCAGCGCCACAGAACCAGGTCGAATGCTTCGTGCACAGACAAACTGTCTCTGTCCATAAACGGCCGTTACATTACATTCCAGAGAGCAGCTTTTCTTTGGGGAAAATGTGGTTTTAAAAGAGTTTTTACGTCATCAGAGACTTCTGTAGGACTCTCCCAGGACTCACCGGCCTCAGGCTAAGGTTTAGGGACTAGTTGAGACTGAGGACTGGACACTGTGGACTAGAGACCCAGGACTAGAGACTCAGTATAATAAAGAAGCTAGTATAAAATCTAGCTTTAGCATAATAAAGAAGCTAGTATAAAATCTAGCTTTAGCATAATAAACAAGCTAGTATAAAATCTAGCTTTAGCATAATAAAGAAGCTAGTATAAAATCTTGCTTTAGCATAATAAAGAAGCTAGTATAAAATCTAGCTTTAGCATAATAAAGAAGCTAGTATAAAATCTAGCTTTAGCATAATAAAGAAGCTAGTATAAAATCTAGCTTTAGCATAATAAAGAAGCTAGTTTAAAATCTAGCTTTAGCATAATAAAGAAGCTAGTATAAAATCTAGCTTTAGCATAATAAACAAGCTAGTATAAAATCTAGCTTTAGCATAATAAAGAAGCTAGTATAAAATCTTGCTTTAGCATAATAAAGAAGCTAGTATAAAATCTAGCTTTAGCATATTAAAGAAGCTAGTATAAAATCTAGCTTTAGCATAATAAAGAAGCTAGCGTAAAATCTCTAGCTTTAGCATAATAAAGAAGCTAGCGTAAAATCTCTAGCTTTAGCATAATAAAGAAGCTAGTATAAAATCTCTAGCTTTAGCATAATAAAGAAGCTAGTATAAAATCTCTAGCTTTAGCATAATAACGAAGCTAGTATAAAATCTCTAGCTTTAGCATAATAAATATAATATAATCTTGTTTATTATCTTTATTCCCATGTGCTGATGTGTGCAGTGTCAGATTCATTCCAACTCTCTCCATCCTCCTCCTCTCTCAAACCCACACTGACCTGTCTCAAACTGCCGCCTCCCGATGGAAACGTGCCGTTAGCCGCGGAGACGGTACCAGCTAGCGTCCGCGTGATGGACAGGGCACTTCACTCCTGCACTCAGATGATCCGTCCACACAAAAAGAGGAATGGGATGAGTTTCTCGGGGGAGTAACGATAATAAAATCAGGGCGTCTGGGCTCTCCGTGGGGGCTGTGATCTAACAGAATGAGGGCCCGGTCTTTTAGCTAAAGCAGCAGATTCCTTTGAAGCTCGGCCACCTCGGCTTGAGTGCTTTACATTAGCCATACCACCGCCGCGAGTACATTACCGCCTGCCGCCCGGTACACATTCAACTCCCTCTTGTTAAATATTACCCCCACAGAGCGTTTGATTTTATTTTCATTTTTCTTCCTGCGCGGCTTGTCCTGCTCCCCCCGATCGCATTAGGATCGATCAGTCGGTGGCGGAGCCGGCCCAGACACGAGGGGCCAAACTGCGCGATTGTGCGGCTCCGCCTTGGAGACTATTCAGGCAACTAAATAGAATGATTTGCCCTTAGATGTCAAATTTCCTCCGAGACAAGGATGTCAATACCAATTAGATTGTCTCCAGTTGCCTTAGTTACGCTTGGCTTGGCCGCAGCACACGCCGCGCCCTCTGAACACACACTCTCTTAAGATCGCACTCACATCGGCGTCTGTGGTGGCGGCCGCGGCACCGAGCCTTTAGCCTCAAATCAGTTTTATGACCGGCGCTGTGCAGACATCAAGCTAACTGCATTAGGCTCTGAGAGAGACGGCCTCAGGGACACAAAGGGCCAGAGTGTGTGTGTGTGTGTGTGTGTGTGCGTCTGTGTGTGTGCGTGGTCAAAAGGTGAAGGGCCGACATTGTCTTACACAGTCTTTTGGCATCTACTTAAAGGTCAGTGTGTTGCCGGACGAGCGAGGTCACGGCAAACCAGGAGCACGAACATAAACAAGAAGGAAAAGTGGGCAGAAAATGGATTAATGAACAAATGTGATTAGAAGGAGAGGGAGGCGCCCACTTAGACTCCTGCAGCATGGGCTTAAGTGCTAACATGACAACCAGATGTGCTCCCTCTGTCCCTGTGCCAGGCCAAGTTATTTGTTTAGCACAGTGAACACACCAGGCCAGTCAAAGAGAAGAGATACACACACACACACACACACACACACACACAAGGCATTCACGGTGCGTTAGAAAGAGTAAACATCTGACAGTCCTTTAGATGTTGCAGCAAAACAGAAGTTATTTTAACCTGGATTTGAACATTGTCAGAGAAGAAGCCTGTCTCACGCTTTCAGGAAGACTGTTCTAGGTTTTAGCAACACAAATGCAAGTGTCAATGTCAGCTTTATATGTGTAGAAGATAGACATAAACAAAAGAAAAAGAGAAAGAAATCAGTGGGAGGCTATTAAGCAGCCTCTCCATGTTCAGTCCTGACTCTGGCCAGTCCCTGTGCTCCTCAGAGTCCCAGCAGGAGGCCAGTCCCTGTGCTCCTCAGAGTCCCAGCAGGAGGCCAGTCCCTGTGCTCCTCAGAGTCCCAGCAGGAGGCCAGTCCCTGTGCTCCTCAGAGTCCCAGCAGGAGGCCAGTCCCTGTGCTCCTCAGTCACTGTGCTCCTTAGAGTCCCCGTGCTCCTCAGTCCCTGTGCTCCTCAGAGTCCCTGTGCTCCTCAGTCCCTGTGTTCCTCAGAGTCCCTGTGCTCCTCAGAGTCCCTGTGCTCTGTACAGCACAGTATAAACTACATCTTTCCGAGTGATGGATTCAGTTGTTTCTGAAACTCGGCTCGATATGAAACCAAACACCGTCGTTTCCAGGTTTCAATTTGCATTTACAGACACTATTAACAACTGAAAACAATGGATCGATAATTTCCCAGAAACACCCGGGACCGACAAAAACGGCCAAATCTGTTTTTCATGAAATGATGCGAATTTCAAACCTTAAAAGAGACGAAGAACAGCAGAAGGACCGAGAGCTCCGAGGAGTTTCTGTTCTGAGTGCTCTGAGGCGGCTGTCATACACCACCACACACTTATTATTATTATTATATTTATTTATTTATTCAGACGACAATAGAACACATACATTAAAGGCAACTTAATGTTCTGAAAAAACAAACAATCAACATTTCCGTGTGATCTCTCCGAGAATGAGGAGTGGGGGAAGTAAATACTTTTATAATATATAACATTAGACTTCCTCTTCATCATTATTTTAGTTTAGTACGAACGTCACAATAGTTTTCAGCAGGAAACTTAAGGAAACGTTTTGTTTGTTTGTTCTGTTTTTCGTTAAGGCTGAAGGATGATTGACAGCACCTCTGACCAATCACAACTGACGTTCACCGATGTCAGATTGTTTTGGTATCGACTCGGCCCAGTTAGAACCACGGCCAAGGAGTTTACTAAAAAGTCTCAGGTTGCGCATAGTGCTAGTTACCATAGTGCTAGTTACCATAGTGCTAGTTACCATAGTGCTGGTTACCATAGTGCTAGTTACCATAGTGCTCGTTACCATAGTGCTAGTTACCATAGTGCTAGTTACCATAGTGCTGGTTACCATAGTGCTAGTTACCATAGTGCTGGTTACCATAGTGCTAGTTACCATAGTGCTAGTTACCATAGTGCTTGTTACCATAGTGCTCGTTACCATAGTGCTAGTTACCATAGTGCTCGTTACCATAGTGTTCGTTACCATAGTGCTTGTTACCATAGTGCTAGTTACCATAGTGTTCGTTACCAAAGTGCTAGTTACCATAGTGTTCGTTACCAAAGTGCTAGTTACCATAGTGCTTGTTACCATAGTGCTCGTTACCATAGTGCTAGTTACCATAGTGCTAGTTACCATAGTGCTATAGTGCTCGTTACCATAGTGCTAGTTACCATAGTGCTAGGTACCATAGTGATCGTAACCATAGTGCCGGTTACAATAGTGCCAGTTACCATAGTGCTTGTTACCATAGTGCTCGTTACCATAGTGCTGGTTACGATAGCGCTCGTTACCATGGTGCTAGTTACCATAGTGCTACTTACCATAGCGCTCATTACCATAGCGCTGATTACCATAGTGCTCGTTACCATAGTGCTATAGTCCTAGTTACCATAGTGCTAGTTACCATAGTGATGGTTACCACAGTGCTGGTTACCAGAGTGCTTTAGTGCTAGTTACCATAGTGATGGTTACCATAGTGCTGGTTACCATAGTGCTGTTAGTGCTAGTTACAATAGTGATGGTTACTATAGAGCTGGTAACCATAGTGCTAGTTATCATAACGAACTGTTTTTGTATTTCAATTGTGAAGATAATTGAGTTTTAGCTTTTATAAAATTGGTGAAAAACTGAAATTTCTCCGACTTGCCTTAGTCTGACTGAGAGCAGTCAAAACGACTGCTCTGGGAGTCCTCGGGTTAAGTGTGTCAACATAGTTGAGAAATGAAAACATGAAAAAACATAAAACCAGAATAACGTCAGTGTAGAACGTGACTCTCAGCAGCTGGAAATCTTCTCTGGCTTTCAGTGAAGAGAAATAAAAACACAACTTAACTCAGGATTTAAACACACAATCCTGAGTACATGTGTCGTTACCGTGACGCTGCAGCGGACGCTTCCAGACGGATGGAAGGAAACCTTTCTGCATGGACGGATCTGTAATTAGGCGACACATGTGAGGCAGCAGAAGCAGCAGTAGCAGTAGTAGTAGTAGTTGTAGCAGCAGTAGCGGCAGTAGTAGTAGTAGCAGTAGAAGCAGCAGCAATAGCAGTAGTAGTAGTTGTTGCAGCAGTAGCAGTAACAGCAGTAGTAGCAGCAGTAGTAGCAGCAGTAGTAGCAGTAGTAGTAGTAGTTGTAGCAGCAGTAGTAGTAACATTAGTAGTGGCAGCAGTAGTAGTAGCAGTAGTAGCAGCAGTAGTAGTAGTAGCAGTAGAAGTAATAGTAGTTGTAGCAGCAGTAGTAGCAGTAGCAGCAGTAGCAGTAGCAGCAGTAGTAGTAACAGCAGTAGTAGCAGTAGTAGCAGTAGTAGTAGTAGTAGTAGCAGCAGTAGCAGTAACAGCAGTAGTAACAGCAGTAGTAGCAGTAGTAGTAGCAGTAGTAGCAGCAGTAGCAGCAGTAGTAGCAGCAGTAGTAGCAGCAGTAGTAGTGTGTCCTCTTGACCTCTCTGGTACATACTTCTGCTCCTGGTCCGGGGCCAACAACAACACTCCAAAGTCACGACGCGGAACTGTGAATAATTTTATCAGATTGATTTCACCTCCAACAATTAGACGGATTTCAACTGTGAATATCTCTCTAGGAGCAGAGAGAGAGACCAGAGAGAGAGACCAGAGAGAGACCAGAGAGACTAGAGAGAGAGCAGAGAGAGTGAGAGACAAGAGAGAGAGGAGAGAGAGACCAGAGAGAGAGCAGAGAGAGAGAGAGAGAGACAGAGAGAGGCCAGAGAGAGAGGAGAGAGCAGAGAGAGAGAGAGACCAGAGAGAGAGAGAAAGAGACCAGAGAGAGAGAGAGACCAGAGAGAGAGAGAGAAAGAGACCAGAGAGAGACCAGAGCGAGCCCAGAGCTGGGTGCAGCTGAGAGACAGTGGTAGAGGCAGCAGGAGGAGCAGTGGTGGAGGCAGAGAGAGACAAAGAGAGAGATCAACGACACTGGACCTTGAAAGAAGGAAGAGGAGACACATTGACTGCAACACACACTAAACACACGCTAAACACATGCAAAACACACGCTAAACACACGCTAAACACATGCTAAACACATGCTAAACACACACTAATTTACAACCACATCATCAATTAACCACTACACGCTCACAATAGATCAGGCCATAAAAGCATTTGGCTTCTCTCTCATCTGAAGATCTGAACGCCACCGGGACTGGACTGGCTCCAAGAGAAAGGGACGGGGTCTGTGTGGTTGGACTGGGGAGAGGAGGGAGGGAGAGGTGGAGAGAGGAGGGAGGGAGAGGGGAGAGAGAGGAAGAAGGGAGAGGGGAGAGAGAGGAGGGAGGGAGGGAGGGAGGGGGTGAGAGAGGAGGGATGGAGAGGGGGGAGAGGAGGGATGGAAGGGGAGGGAGAGGGTAGGAAGGGAAGGGGAGAGAGAGGAGGGAGGGAGAGGGGAGAGAGAGGAGGAAGGGAAGGGAAGAGAGAGGAGGAAG